ATTCTAAGAGCCTCTAGAAGCCATTTGAGGATTTGAAGCAGGAGAGTGGAATAATCTGATTTCCATTTTAAGAAGTTCAGTCAGGGAGCTGTGCCTACCTGAAGGGACCTGAAGGGAAACGTTTGTTAGGATCAAGGAGACCATGTGCATGAGAGTTAAGAAACCATAGACTACTATGCAAACACGCAGGGTTTTCATCAGGATAGCAGCTCCCTGAAAAGACGGTGCAAAGTATTTTAGGTCACAGAAAGGAGTTTGAATGAACTTCTGGAAGCCAGGTGAAGGTTTGAAGCAAGAGAGTAGAATGATCTTCTAAACCTCCTCAACCTCCGCTTATAGTTTCTCCCATGACCTTGTTTCAGTTCCTTTGTAACTAGTTTCCATTTGTCACACTCTGAAATAACCTTGCTCATCTATTTGTTTACCTGTTCTTTAACTATTTTCCCCTACGAGAATGGAAGCCCAACAGGGAAGATACTTGTCTCTTGTACACTCTGTATCCCCAGACCCTAGAAAAGTATCTGGCCTGGAGTTGGTAATCAATACATATTTGTTGAACAGATGATCGACTGATTTCCCACTGAAGAAATGGGCTGCTATGTCAGGTAACTTGATGGAGGTCAAACGCTTGTAAGTCAGCAGCTACAGCTTCACTTTGAAAGTCTTAGACCAGGTCCAGTGATTGATCTTCTTATAACCCCATGAAAACAAAATGACTTCTTTTTTTTTTTAGATGGAGTCTCGCTCTGTCGCTCAGGCTGGAGTGCAGTGCTGCAATCTCGGCTCACTGCAAGCTCCCCCTCCCGGGTTCAAGTGATTCTCCTGCTTCAGCCTCCTTAGTAGCTGGGATTACAGGCGTGCACCACCACACCTGGCTAATTTTTGTATTTTTATAGAGATGGGGTTTCACTATGTTCGTCAGGGTGGTCTCGAACTCCTGACCCCATGATTGGCCCGCCTCAGCCTCCCAAAGTGCTGGGATTACAGGAGTGAGCCACCGCGCCCAGCAAAATGCCTTCATTTTGTACTTTCCTGGTTAGTAAGAGAAGTTGTGCCCCTAGAGAACCAGAGAATCACCATGTTGGCCAGGCTTGTCTCGAGTTCCTGACCTCAGACAATCCGCCCACCTCGGCCTCCCAAAGTGCTGGGATTACAGGCATGAGCCACTACTAAAAATACAAAAATTAGCCGGGTGTGGTGGCGCACTCCTGTAGTCCCAGCTACTCAGGAGACCAAGGCAGGAGAATTGTTTGGACCTGGGAGGTGGAGGTTGCAGTGAGCCGAGATCACGCCATTGCACTCCAGCCTGGGTGACAGATCAAGACTCCATCTCAAAAAAAAAAAAAAAACACCTGAGAATCATAGAGTTGGAAGTTGTTTGGCATTAAACTGATTCAACCCTCATATGTGTGAGTTTCCTCAGTGTCCTAGGATAGATGTTTGCTACCTTCTTGAACATTCCTGGAAATTGAGGAGTGACTTCTTTGCTGAGATAGTCAGTACCATTGAAATGGCCGTAACTATTTGAAAGGTATCTCTGTGTCTCTTCCACCTGTGGTCTTTGTTCTTTCCTGTGTGGCTACATAGAATGTATCTTTTAGCCAGGGATGGTGGTGGACACCTGTAATCCCAGCTACTCGGGAGGCTGAGGCAGGAGAATCGCTTGAACCTGGGAAGTGGAGGTTGCAGTGAGCTGAGATCGTGCCACTGCACTCCAGCCTGGGTAACAGAGTGAAACTCCATCTCAAAAAACAAAAACCAAAAAAACAGGAGAATGTGTTGCTCAGTTCTGAACCTGCTGCTGAGTAGACCTAAGTGGAATGGGGGTTACTGAGGTAGGAGGCGGAACTCGACCCCGGGGGTGGTGTTTGGACATTGGACCAAATTGAGGACTAGCTAAAACAGGGAAAGGGTGAAGCAGCTTTTCATAAAGCATGCCCACCAGAGTGTCATATTTACTGTGGCCATGGCAACACCTGGGAGTTACCACCCCTTTCCATGGCAATGACCTGGCAACCCAAAAGTGACTACCCTTTCCCTAGAAATTTCTGGGTTAACTGCCCCTTACTATGTGTGCAATTAAAAGTAGGCAAAAATATGACTGCACAACTGCCCTGAGCTGCTACTCTTTGCCTATGGGGTAGCCCTGCTCTGCAGGAGCAGTCACGGAGCTGTAACAGGACTGCTTCAACAAAGCTGTTTTCGTTCACCACCGGCTCGCCCTGAATTCTTTCCTGGGCAAAACCAAGAACCCTCATGGGCCAAGACCCACTTAACATACCTGCCCTGCCTCAGTATCATCAACTTGTCTAGACATGATTTATTTTCTTTTTATTTTTGAGGCAGAGTTTCGCTCTTGTCACCCAGGCTGGAGTGCAATGGTGCTATCTCGGCTCACTGCAACCTCCGCCTCCCAGGTTCAAGCAATTCTCCTGCCTCAGCCTCCCAAATAGCTGGGACTACAGGCGCCCGCCACCACGCCCAGCTAATTTTTTGTATTTTTAGTAGAGATGGGTTTCACCGTGTTGGCCAGGCTGTTCTCAAACTCCTGACCTCGTGATCCGCCTGTCTTGGCCTCCCACAGTGCTGGGATTACAGGCGTGAGTCACCGTGCCTGGCCGACATGATTTCTTTTCATGTCATCCAATCAAATTAGCTTTTGTGGCAGCTGTAATACATCACAGACTCATAGTGCACGTCCAGTCAGCTGAGAATCCCAGATTTTTTCTCATGTTATTACTGCCACGCTATCCATAGTTGACTATCCACTATGTTATTTCTTTTTTTTTTTTTTTTTGAGACAGAGTCTCTCTCTGTTGCCCAGGGTGGAGTGCAGTGGCACGTTCTCAGCTCACTGCAACTTCTGCCTTCCAGGTTCAAGCAATTCCTGTGCCTCAACCTCCCGAGTAGCTGGGATTACAGGTGCCTGCCAACGTGCCTGGCTAATTTTTTTATATTTTTGGTAGAGATGGGATTTTGCCATGTTGGCCAGGCCGGTCTCGAACTCTTCACCTCAAGTGATCTGCCTATCTCGGCCTCCCAAAGTGCTGGGATTACAGGCATGAGCCACTATGCCCGGCATTATTTCCATTATTTTTAATGTTTACTTATTATATTTCTAATAAGTGAGGGTACATCTGTGTATGTGAATTTATATCTTAGAACTACTTAATACTCTATGATTTCTCAGCAATTTTATTCATGGAGTCTTATTTTAATCCACAGGATAATCTTGGGAGATCTCTAGTATCCTAATCACTATGATTTAGAAATAGAGGCTGGAGGCAGTGGCTTGCTTCAGGCCATCCATTTAGTAAGTGGAACGGACACTGAATTCAGGGTTCTTATGGCACCTGTCCAGTCTTCTTTTGAAGGAGGAAAATAGAAAATGAGCTTTCACTTCAGTGGGACTGATAAGGAAATATTTTCTGGAGAAAGTGAATATTTAGTGGATTTTTGTAAGTGAGGAAGAAGCAAGCACCAGAAGATGGGGGAGGGTCGGGCGTGGTGGCTCACACCTGTAATCCCAACACTTTGGGAGGCCAAGGCAGGAGAATTACTTGAGGCCAGGAGTTCAAGACCAGCTTGGGAAACACCCATCTCTACATAAAACAAAATAAAATAATTAGCTGAGTGTGGTGGTGTGCACCTGTAGTCCCATCTACTCGGAAAGCTGAGGCAGGAGGGTGACTTGAGCCCAGGAGTTCGAGGCTGCAGTGAGCCATGATTGTGCCACTGCACTCCAGCCTGGGCAACAGAGTGAGACCCCAACTCTAAAAACCAACCAACCAACCAACCAACAAACAAAAAACAGGTAGAAGAATGTGGGATTGAGGTGAGGGGGGATGAATAAGCAGGCAAGGTGTTTGAAGAACAAGTTCTTGGACAGATTGGGCTTCTGAGATGAGACAGATTCACGACCCCAGCTGGCCACCTGGGGTGCTTTCTTGAAAACCTCACTTGCTGGGACCCCACCTGCAAAGATTCTGTCAGTAGTTTGGAGGTGGCTCTCTGTATTATTTTCACACCTCCACCTGTAATTCTGATGTACAGCCTGGGTTGCAAACTACTAGGTTAGGGGCTGGAGGTCATTTAACTAGAGAGAATGGTCTAGGAGTCCTTATTGTGGAAAAATGAGCTAGGCAGGTAGAATTGGAAGGGGAGAGAGGGGACAAAGCAAGGAAAAGAATGGTACAATGTGAGTTCTTTGGGGGAAGCACTTTTTTTTGTTTTTGTTTTTGTTTTTTTTTTTGGAGACGGAGTCTCGCTCTGTCGCCCAGGCTGGAGTGCAGTGGCACCATCTTGGCTCACTGCAAGCTCCACCTCCCGGGTTCAAGCGATTCTCCTGCCTCAGCCTCCTGAGTAGCTGGGATCACAGGCACGTGCCACCATGCCCGGCTAATTTTTTTTTTGCCTTTTTAGTAGAGACGGGGTTTCACCATGTTAGCCAGGCTGGTCTGGAACTCCTGACCTCAGGTGATCCTCCCGCCTTGGCCTCCCAAAGTGCTGGGATTACAGGCATGAGCCACCGTTCCTGGCCAGAAGCATCTTTTTAAATTAAATTTTTAAAATTGAGAGACACAGTCTCACTGTGTTGCCCAGGTGGGTCTCCAACTCTCAGGCTCAAGCGATCCTCCCACCTCAGCCTCCCAAAGTGCTGGGATTACAGACATGAGCCCCTGCACCTGGCCAAGGAAACATTCTGATGGAAAGCTCTGCAGGTTTCTGAGCAGGAGGGTAACATGTTTTAAGTCCTTGTGGCAGACACATGACTGTGAGTCAGAATCACCCCGCATCCTTTCTAAGGCCGGACTCTCTATTCATCCCTCGAAACAGGATTCTGTCAGTGCCCTCACTTCCCTTGCCCACACCACCTCTTTATCTTAAGCTGTTTCTGTGGTTTCAGATGCATCACTTTTCCCCTTTGCTGCTGAATCTGGTTCTCCCATTTTTGCTCTCCCTGTGCTTGCAGCAGGGTTACAAAATTTGTGGACTTTCACTTCAGAGTTTTATCATCTTTATTTTCAATTTGCTAGACAAGGTAGCTTTCCCCTGTATGAGGGAGTGCTAATCTCTGATTGCTGGGTACCAAGCCACATCCTGGCCTATGTGGGGTGCCATGGAGGAAGGAGATAAGACCCAGACCTCTGGCAGCTCCCAGTTTAGCAGGGGAGACAAGATAACACTTGAAAACAAACAGAGCACATTGAAAAGGCCACAGGTCAAACCGATGCAGGGAAGCCCCTATGATTAAAGATCTAAGCCCTGAGGCCTCCCTGCTCATCTCCAGGCTCAGAACCTTTTTGAGTCTTCTTTGACCTCATTTAGTCTTTCTCTTCCATCTCTTTCCTGTTGGTTTATCTCCAGCATCAACCGCTAGAGCAGTGTCTAGGTGTTGCTTTGAAGCTTGTATCAAGATTTCTCTAGGACTCTCTGCTTCAGCCTGGCCATCCCCAACTACCAACCACATCACAAGGACTGGACTTGTATTAGCTACGCTGCTTCTCCAGCCCGATGGTGCTTCTCCTTTTTTTTTTTTTTTTTTTAGATGGAGTCTTGCTCTGTCGCTAGGCTGGAGTGCAGTGGTGCGATCTCAGCTCACTGCAACCTCCGACTCCCGGGTTCAAGCAATTCTCCTGCCTCAGCCTCCTGATTAGCTGGGATTATACGCATGTGCCACCATGCCCAGCTGAGTTTTTTGTATTTTTAGTAGAGACAGGGTTTTCCCATGTTGGCTAGGATGGTCTTGATCTCCTGACCTCAAGTGATCCACCCACCTCAGCCTCCCAAAGTTCTGGGATTACAGGCATGAGCCACCGTGCTCAGCCGGTGCTTCTATACCTAACTAACTACTTCTTCCTGCATCTCTGAGTTATGCTCCTTTGAGTAGGAAAAATCAGTCAGAAAGGGATACCAAGCTGGTGAAAGGCGTTTTTTCAAAGTCCCAGTCCTGGACTGGGTCTGAGGATTTCTGAATCTGGAGGGGAGCCTTCCTGCTCCGCCTCTCCCAGGCTTCCCAGCGCCTGTGTAACCCAGGCCACCTCCAAAGGTCCAGGGAAACTGCTACTCCGTAGTGAAGTCCGAACTTGGCATCCCCTCTCCCTGACTCACACCCCTGTCCTCATTTGTCCCCTCTGCTGTGTCTTTGCCTCTGCGTCCCAACATGGAGGAACCCTGATTCCTTAGCACCTGCAGCCCTCTCCCAAATGCCCTGCGCACCACCGAAGAAGAGAAATAGAAGAGCAGGGGGTCCAGACTGGCGTTGAGTGAACTGAACACCACTGCTATTGACCGCCACCAGGGGCTTTTTCTCTGGTGATACCCCACCAGGTGGGACACATTGTAAGGGCCGAAGCACACCAGGAAATTGAGCAGCGTCACCACAGCCAGCCCCACGGCTCGGCGCCGTTTCTGGGCCCCCACATGGGGCTGGGAGAGCATGATCCACACAAAACGCCAGTAGCAGAAGATGGTGACCGCCATGGGGATGAAGAAGAGCACCAGGCACAGCTCCAGCCGCACGGGCAGCACCAAGTCCAGCTGGTGATCGGTGAAGTTCTCGTAGCAGGTAATTTCATTGCCACTTCTGGCCTGCTCAGTCGTGTTCAAATACTGAACGATGATCACAATGGTGCAGTGACCAAAGGACATACCCCAGGCCACCAGAGCTGCAATCACTCCATACAGAGGCCGGCGGGAGAGCTTGTACTGCACGGGGAAAGCCACGCCCAGGTAGCGCTCAATGCTGATGCCCGCCAGCAGCCACGTGCTGCAATAGATGCTGCTGTAGAAGCCGAAACTCGTGAGGGCACAGACGATCTCGGGCAGGTACCAGCGGAAGTTCGATGCGGCCTCAATGATCTTGAAGGGCAGCAGCAGCAGCAGGAGGAGGTCGGCCAGCGTCAGGCTGAGCAGGAGGATGTGCACGGGTGCAGGCTGGGGCTGGCGGACCCGCCCCACAAAGGCCCGCAGGGCTAGGAGGTTGGCAGGGAGGCCAGTGAGGAAGATGATGATGTAAGCCATGAGGATCAAGGAGCTCTTCCAGTCTAGCGGCATCCTGGAGAGGAACAAAAAAGAGTGGGGTCAGGGGGTCTCACTCACAGCCTGTGCAGCCAGCTCTTGTTCAGGATGCAGACATCCTCCCCGGCACCTTCCCCTTCCCAGGACAGTGCTTTCTGATGCCACCACGGCTTGCTCACACCACCTGCTCAAACTACCCAGAGCAATTATTGACTTTGCCTTGGGCGGGATATTAAGCAGTAGTGATGATGTTTGCCATCATGTGTCTCTGGGGGAGACCAACCTGTGCCTTCCCAAGGGAATTCCCCCTCCATTTTCCCTAGCCTTTCTCCTCCTATCCTCACAGATACAGGAAGTTACTGTTATCAGTTTCTAACTTTACTCAAGTCCCTTTCTCAGACAGAGACCTGCAGGAGAGAAAGGCATCAGTGTGGGGAGAGAGCTGTAAGAGGTGTGTCAGGATGACGAGGCTGTGGGGCCCCAGGCGCTGATGCCCAGTGCCAGCTCTCCACAGGACCCAGGTGCCCAGCCACCAGCCCAGCTTCCTACTTCCCTTCCTCTGTTTTGCAGGGCACAGATTCTCCCCCACCATGTCCTCCTCTGTCCAACACCAAACTGGGACTCTCTAGAAAAGGGGAAGCGGGAGCCGGGCGCAGTGGCTCACACCTGTAATCCCAGCACTTTGGGAGGCCGAGGTGGGCAGATCACCTGAGGTCAGGAGTTTGAGACCAGCCTGGCTAACGTGGTGAACCCCATCTCTACTAAAAATACACACACAAAAAAAAATATTAGCTGGGCAAGGTGGTGGGCACCTGTAATCCCAGCTAATTGGTAGGCTGAGGCAGGAACCTGCTTGAACCTGGGAAGCGGAGGTTGCAGTGAGTCAAGATTGTGCCATTGCACTCCATCCTGGGCAGTAAAAGCAACACTCCATCAAAACAAAACAAAACAAAACAAAAAAAATGGAAAAGGGGAAGCTGAGAGGTTCAGAGGAGGGTGGAGGGGAGGAAGGATGAACCAGCACTAGCCTTAGGAGGAAGGCTTGTCCCCAGAAGACCTTAGAGAAATATTCAGAAAAGCCCACAGGCTTCACTGGCCCTTGAGCCTGACATTCTGACCATAAATAGAACTCATCTTCTTCACAGGGTAACTCAGTTTCCACTTGGGGTGTCACCCTTGCTGGCCCCCAGCCCTGGTCCTGTCCCTCCATCCTCTCTCCAGCCTTGATTTCCTGGCTGTTTCCTTGCTCCTCACACTAGCTCCTGTCTCTGGATATGAGCCTTCCATTTGGTTCTGACATCCTTCCTCCAGTCCCCTAGAACCTTCCCCTCAAATCTGATCCTGGCCTCTCTTCCCAGAGCACAAGTACTACACTAGCTGCCTTGCCTTGTGTTGTTCCGGACAGATGGCTTCTTGGGATTGGTTCTGAAGGGAGGTCTGCAAGCTTCTGGGAGAGAGGAACAGAGCTTTAGCCCCTGCTTCTGTCCATGCCATGCAGGAATAAATGGTGAGGAACCTGGTTGGTAGGAAGCATTTATACCAGCACCAGCCACGTGACCAGAGAAAGGAAGGTCAATCTTTAAGCAATATTTCCTCTCAAACCCAAAGGAAAGGCCCAGCATCTTTATTCTCTCGAGAGAATCCTCACTCTTGACTTCCAAATGCAGATTTTTCTGTCCTTAATTCCTGATTAAAATAAAAATTGCCAGGCATTTTTCTTTTTTTACTTCCCAAGTCAGATTATTTTCTCTTCTCAGGCAGTTTCTTCTGTCACTCTGCTCATTCTCAGAAATGAGCTTTCCCTTTTCTTTTTCTTTCTTTCTTTTTTTTTTTGAGAGTGAGTCTTGCTCTGTCGCCTAGGCTGGAGTGCAGTGGTGCCATCTCAGCTCACTGCAACATCCGCCTCCTGTGTTCAAGCGATTCTCCTGCCTCAGCTTCCCTAGGATTACAGCCACCTGCCACTACGTCCAGCTAATTTCTGTATTTTTAGTAGAGACAGCGTTTCACCATGTTGGTTGGTCTTGAACTCCTGACCTCAAGTGATCCGCCTGTCATGGCCTCCCAAAGTGCTGGGATTACAGGCGTGAGCCACTGCACCCGGCCCTCCTTCCTTTTCTTCTTCAATTTTTTTTACTTTCTCTATTGTCTCCTGCCCTCTGCCCCCAACACATTTCTTTTGCCCATCCTGGCCTGCATCTCGTTATGATAGAAATGGTGTGGGAGTTACAGTCATGCAGATAGATATGGGCTCAAATCCAGGTCCCTTCATTACAACCTTGGGGCAGATCAGTTTCCTGAACTCTAGTTTCTTATAGTCACGTGAGCATGTGAATTCTGACATCCGAGGACTTCTGCGAGGATTCAGTGAGGTTGTGTATGTAAAGCACTTACTAGATGACCGTAAGTGCTGTCTCGTCCCAAGCCTGTAACACAGCTTCATAGAGAGTGAGCCGCTTGGTGCAGCCTTCAGAGGCCCAGGGCATGGACGCGCCATCTCTCTTGGGAAAGGGTCAGGAATTCAGGAGGCCCGAGTTCACGTGCCCGTGTGGCTTTTCGTCAGGGAGTGGCACTCAGGCTCCATTCCTTTCCCTGATAAAGTCTCACTGTTTCCCCCTCTCTGACTTTGGTAGCCCCAGGTTAGAAGCTCCTGAAGGTCTCTTTGAAATACACACCTGATGAAGCAAGGATCGTCGGAACATGTTTTCCTCTTGACCTAGGGAAGAAGTCTCGGGAAGAAATCTCTGTTCTGCCATCTGCGGCCTGATTCCTGCTTACAGAATCCCCATTCTTTCCCTAGGACATACCTATTTCCTACCGTTTGCCATTCATTCATTCATTCATTCATTCATTCAGTCAGTCAGTCAGTCACTTATTCTTTTTGTGGTCTATAAGGGTCCAGATATTTTGATATTTATCTTTTCTTTCTCATCCACTCTACTCTCCTCTGAAGGCGTTCTAGTTCTTTATTTCCTTCCCCCAGCACACGTCACTTCTCAGATCAACAGGAGAACTGAGAGAGACCGTTCTCTGTTATTGCCACCAAATTTATTTGTGTCATTTCGCTTTTATGATTTTCTATAAACATGCATGAGGATCTGGATTTAATTGCAGAATCCAGGAAACTCATTGGAAAACAAGTGTTGAGGAGTGGGACTGCCTCTCTGTCTCTGCCCGTCCTTCTCCCTCCCACCTCCTGCCTTCGCCGTCACTGTCCTGTGTCCCCCTGTGGAAGATGCCCCAGCGAAACCCCCTCTCTGTGTTCACAGCAGTTATGAAGGGAGCATCACCAAGGAAGCTTTCAGTCTCACAGTTCACGATGTCCACCTACGTCACAGGAAAAGGAAATCCAACCTCTCAGACTGAGTTCAAGGGGGCAAACTTTCACAAGAACAATATCCTTCACAGTTCCTTCCAAGTGCAGTTTTCTCTCACCATCTTTATAATGCGGCTTGCCATCACAGGAAGTTGGATCCATTGTCTAAAGTTCTGTGTAATCACTTTCTCCACATTCTTATTTCTCACTCGCCCCTCAGTCCACCCTAAACCGTGTTCTGTGCCTATTTTCCATGGGATCTTCTCTTCCTAATGTTAGCAGTGACCTCCATGTTTCCAAATTCAGTGGACTTATTTTTTTCTTATTTTATTAGCATTCAACACAATATCCACGCCCTTCTGGAAACATCCTCTTTTCACGAATTCTGATACGTTATGCTGCTGGCTTCCTTCTCTTTCCTTTGGTCACTTCTCGTACCTCTTTGCTAGCTCACCATTCCCCTACTCATCCCTGAAATGGTGACTTCCTTCAAGCTTGGTTCCGAATTCTTTGCTGTTCCCACCTGTGCTCTCCTGCTAGTCGACTGCGTCTGTTTCCGTAGTTCCAGTTATCACCTTCATGACAGCCCCGGTTTGAATCTCCATCCTAGGTTTCTATGAGCTTCACATGCACACGCCCAACTGCCTAGTTGACACTGCCATTTGGGTGTCTCACAGGCATCCCAAGTCAAATGTGTCCAGACCTGGCCTTAGATCTTACCTAACAAATTCGGCCTTCATCCACCCTTCCCTGTCTTAGGGCATTTTTGAGACAGAATCTCTCTCTGTTGCCCAGGCTGGAGTACAGTGGTGCATGATCTCGGTTCACTGTCACCTCTGCCTCCCAGGTTCAATCAGTTCTCATGCCTCAGCCTCCTGGGTAGCTGGGATTACAGGCATGCGCCACCAAGCCCGGCTAATTTTTGTATTTTTAGTAGAGACAGGATTTCACCATATTGGTCAGGCTGGTCTCGAACTCCTGACCTCAAGTGATTGGCCCACCTCGGCCTCCCAAAGTTCTGTGATTACAGGCTTGAGCCACTGAGCCTGGCCTAGAGTCAGTCTTAAAGTGAATCTCGATACTATCTTCTTCCTTATCCCTAGAATGCAGTCTGATGTACTCCTCAAATGCTTATGGATTCCAAATATGAATCCATCCATCCATCTCCATCTCCATCATCCCGTCTCAGTGCCATCATCCCTTCCAGGATTTTAGCAGGGCCCTGACTCACTTCCTCTCATCCATCAGCTTCCCGGGCAGTCAGTTCTCCATACTGTATTAGTGGAATGGTTTTAAAAATGTCAATCCAATCATACCACCTTCTTGTCCTTTCAGATACTTCTCACTGCTTTTAGGAGAAATATCAATGTCCTTAACAAGGCCTGCCTGGCATGGCCCTTGCCAGCTTCCACTCACATCACTCTTCTCTCTCTTTGCTGTCTGGGCAGGGCCATTTTCCACTTCTGTGAATGTGTCATGTTTTCCATCTGCCACGGGGAGCTTCAACCAGCCCCTGCCTGGTACGTCTTTATTTCTTTTACCCATTCCAACGTTCCCAGTTAATTTGTAGCTTTCTTTCAGATAACCACTTACTTCCTTAAGAAAGCCCTGCCTGGCTGGGCACAGTGGCTCACTCCTATAATCCCAGCACTTGGGGAGGCTGAGGCAGGTGGATTACCTGAGGTCAGGAGGTCGAGACCAGCTTGGCCAACATGGCGAAATTCCGTCCCTACTAAAAATATGAAAATTAGCCAGGCATAGTGGTGCACACCTGTAATCCCAGCTAGTCAGGAGGCTGAGGCCAGAGAATCACTTGAACCCAGGAGGCGGAGGTTGCAGTGAGCCGAGATTGTGCCACTGCATTCCAGCCTGGGCGATAGAGCAAGATACTGTCTCAAACAAACAAACAAACAAACAAACAAACAAACAAAGCCCTGACCTCCTAGATTGTGATTCCCCTCTTATAGGTTCTTATAGCATCTTTTCTATTGCTGAGTAGTATTCTGTTTTAAGGATATTTCACATTTTATTTATCCATTAATTGTTGATGGATATTTGGTTGGTTTGGGTTTTTTTTTTTTTTTTTTAAGTTTTTGGCTAGTATGAATACAGCTGTTAAAAACATTCTTATTTAGGTCTGTGTGTGGAAATGTTTTCAGTGCTGTTGGGCAAATACCTGGTAGTGTATTGGCCAGATGATATGGTAAACCTTTTATTAACTTTTTAAGAAACTACCGGTTTTCCAAAGTAGCTGTGCCATGTTGCATTCCCACCAGGAGCCTATGAGCATTTCAGTTGCTCCACATCCTCGCCAACACTTGACATTTGCTAGTTTCTAATTGTAGGCATTTTAATAAGTATGCCATGGTATCTTGTGTGGTCCTTTTTTTTTTTTTTTTTTTTT